GTAAATCCTCTAATGAGTCTTCAATACCTTAGATTCTTTCTTCCATCTTTTGTATTCTGTTGGCTATGCTTACATCAGAGGTTCCTGATCATTTACCCAGGTTTTCTATTTCCAGCATCCCCTCATTCTGTGTTTTCCTTATTGTTTCTAATTCTGCTTTCGAACCATGAACTGTTTGAATTGTTTCCTTCATGTGTTTGCTTTTTTTCTTGGCTTTCTTTAAATTCTTTAAGAGATTTATTTATTTATTGAAGTTTTTGGGTTGTCTTTTCCTCCACTTCATATAATTTCTTGCTTGTTTTTTCTTCTATTTCTTGAAGGGATTTTCTTGTTTCCTCTGTAATGGTCTCTATCTTCTTCATAAGATAATTTTAAGGTTCATCTCTTCATCCTCTGCATTGGGCTTTTCAGTTCTTGCTGGTGTGGAGTCCCTGGATTCTGGTGGTGTCATATGGGTCTTTCTGTTGTTGAGTGTGTTCTTATTCTGTCGTCTTCCCATCCCTCAGGCAGCAGGCAGAGGTCATAGAGCAGAGGGGGAACCTAGAGTGAAGTGTTTCCGGACTCAGGGTGGGCCTTCCAGTCTGCACAGGTCCACTCTTGTCCAGGGGGAGGCTCAGGAAGAAGGGAGCAGGTGGTTATGGTGGAAGTTGGGCGCAGAGCAGGGCCCAGACTCACCTCAGGCAGCAGGTAGATGGGGGACAAGGGTGAGGGGTTTCTGGACTCAGGATGGGCCTTCTAGTCTGGGAAGGTCCACTCTTGTCCAGGGGAGGCTTAGGAAGAAGTGAGCAGGGGGTTATGTTGGAAGTTGGGGGCAGAGCAACGCCCAGACTCACTTCAGGCAGCAGGCAGAGGGCAGAGGGCAGAGGGCAGAGGGGAGAGGGCAGAGGGCAGAGGGCAGAGGGCAGAGGGCAGAGGGCAGAGGGAAGACCATAAAGGGCTTTTCATGATGAATTTTGTCACAGCATTCCTTTTAACTGGATTTGAATTTTTCTGTCTGTTTTGCCTGACCATCTGAGATGCAGGAAAATGTGGGACCACCTCACACCATCTGTTCTTCCACTAACCAGGTGGCTCCTGATTGACAGGTTTCCTACCTGTTTTCTGGATACTTTTGTGGTCAGTTCTGGCTCTGTTGGTGTCTGGTTTTTGGGTTTCTCCTGTTTCTCAGAGGTTCATCTGCTCTGTAAAAGTTCAGAAGAGATGCTTTCGTTTTCCAGTGTGAAATTTAACTTGTTTAATCAAAAATCAGGTGTCCATAGGTGTGTGGATTTACGTCCAGGTCTTCAATTCTATCCTGTTGAGCAACCTGTCTGTTTCAATGACAATACCATGAAGTTTTTGTTGTTAGAGCTCTGTAGGACAGCTTGAAATCAGAGATGACCATACCTCCTACCTCCATAACTTCCTTTATTATACAGGATTGTTTTAGCTAACCTGGGGTGTTTTGTTTTTCCATGTGATGCTGAATGTTGTTCTTTCAAGGTCTGAAGAGAATGCCATCTTCTATAACCAGGCAAGGCTTCAAGTCTAGGGGCAGGGCACCAACCCAGTCATAAAACCTCTGACCAACCAACCATTTGTCCCACCTGAAATATGTGCTGGGGTAATGGTGGAGAAGAACTTGTGGAAGTGGCTAACCAATGACTGGTCCAACTTGAGACTCACCCCACAAGAATGATCCCATGCCCGACCGTTCCTGGATGGCCTGGAACCAGAGGCTAGATGGCCAGAGAACTAGGATAGAACTATACATGACTGGGGGGAAGGACAGGAAATGATTCCTAATGATATTCTGCTATCCTAGTAGACTGGAGGCTAGCACAATCATCACAAGAGTGGATTCATCCTGCAAGTGATAAGCGCAAATGCAGAGACTATGGTAGTTTGAAAGAAAATGGTTGGAAAGAAGCAAGGGTGTCTCTGTGGTTGGCTTTCAGGACTCAGATGTGCTCAAGCCACACCCCAGTGTGTCAGACCACTTCCTGTTGCTTACGCAAGATGTAGACCTCTCAGCAACCACCCTAGCACTACTATGCCATCCTGCATGTGGCCATGTCCCCACCATTACGATAATGGACTAAACCTCTGCAACTGTAAGCTGCCACCTCAATTACATGTTTTCATTTATAAGAGTTGCTGTGGTTGTGGTGTCTCTTCACGGCAATAGAAACCCTAACTAAGACATAGAGCCACAGATGAATATTATTTGGAACTTTGGGTAATACCTCAGAAGAGGGGGAAGAAGGATTTTAGGAGCCAGAGTGGATTGTAGGGGCCAGAAAAACATGGCCCACAGAATCAACCAACTATGGCTCATAGGAGCTCACAGAGACTGAAGAGACCATCCTGGAGCTGTATAGGTCTGATCTAGGCCCTCTGCAATACACTATGGTTGTATGTGTGGCTTAGTGATCTTGTGAGACTCTTAACATTGGAAATAGGGTCTGTGTCTGACTGGTTTGCCTGCTTTTAAGACCCTTTCCCTCTTATTGGGGTGCCTCATCCAGCCTTGATATGGGGGTGTGTGCATAGTCTTGCTGTAACTTGATATGCCATATATGGTTGGTTCCCCAGGGGAGGCCTACTTGTTTCTGAAGGAGAACAGAGGTGGAGTGGATCTGGAAGAGAAGGGGAGGGTGTGGGGGAGGGTGCTTGGAGGAGAGACAGAAGGGGAAAGAAATGGCATTTGGGATCATATATGAGAGAAGACTTGTAGAATGTTCTAATAAATCTTATTAATAAAAACCCAGAGTCAGATATCACGGTAAATGCTGAAAGGTCGGAGAAGTGAAGGAGCCAGCCACAAGAGAGATCTCTCACCTCTACTGAATCCTCAGACCAAAGCTGCGATCCTGTCCCTTCGAATCCCCAGACTGAAGGCAATGAGCCCCTGTGTCCTCCCGCCTTATAATCCTCTCTAGGCCCAGACATATCAGCCCTGTCTCCACCTCCCTAGTGCTGGAATTAAAGGCATCTGATTACAATTGCTGGGATTTAAGGTATGAGCCACTACTGCCGGGCTCTGTTTCTCTTTTAGACTGGATCAATCTCATGTATCCCAGGGTGGCCTTGAACTCACAGAAATCCACCTGCCTCTGCCTCCCCAGTGCTGAGATTCAAGGTGTGTGCCACCACTGGAGGGGTCGATGGCTAAGAGTGTGGCCAGCTCCTCCCTCTGATCTTCAGGCAAACATTTGGTTAGATCACAAAAAAATATCATCACAAAGACTAAATAAATAAATGACTAATCAAACCAATATATAAATTTTAAAAAGTTCAGAGGAGTCCAAAAACATGCTCAGGTCACCAGGATGAGAGTTGCCTTGCTTTATGCAAAGGTTTCCAGCAAAAGACCTTCCAGTGTTACTGAATTTCTCTCGAGAAGCAGCTCCCGGAGATATTCACCTTCTTAAAATGCTAAAATGCTGTTGCCAGAGATCATTTCTCTATACATAGACTGACAATTTTACTGGTTAATAGAAATCATCTGGTCGTGATCAAAAAAGAAAAAAACTTCTTACAGTCAAGTCTGCACTACATCATCATATCATGCCTTAAATATTGTTTTCTTTTCATTATTGTTTTGGTAGTCTCTTCAAGGATCAAGAAGCAGGTTCAGGGTGTCAGTAGGAATCAATCTTGCTTTACATATCCCCTGCCTCAAAGTAAAATTAAACATGGATATTTTAGTGTAAGATATGTGTAAGGGCTAGCTATTATAGAGGGGCTTCCTTGAGATTCACAATTTCTGTCATGACTACATTTATGCAGAAAATACACGGTTCCCATTAATAATCAATGAAGAAATATACTGCTCATTCAAATTGAGTGTAAAGATACGAATGAAAGATATAGTGCCAAATTGCTTCTAAATTGTGGTCAAAAGGTTTATTGTTTGCACTCCAAATTTGAAATACTTTCGAGTTTGGTGGTGTGGAGCAGGGAATTCTAAAACCATAATCAGCGTGTAAGTTAAAAGCACAACAATATACGTGGCTTAATTACTAAAATGCGATTGCTGACACCACATGATTAGAGTCCCAGAGGACTAGATTCTGGGAGCAAAGGGAGGATGAGGTTGGAACTTTTGCGACAAACGTGACATAGGACACGAACCGCTTTGACAATGTCTTATTAGTAATCCATGTGTTATAAGGTGGAATGATATGCTTTCTGCCAAAATCCCAATTCGCTCTGCTCACATGGTAAAGACTGACATGCCATGCCATGGGACAGGGAAAAGTCCTCTTTGGAGGTTTTACTACACAGGCTCAAGTTGGTAAGCCAATAAAGGGGCTGCGCCTTTGACAAAGGCTTCTTCTACCTGATGCCTGGTCATCTTGGTGCCTTAGTAAAACGGGCTGTCAATAATAATAAACTATTAGCTAGCTTAGTGCCCGAGAAGAGAAAGCACTGTTCCCAAATATCCAGCTTACATTGTTTAAGGAGTCAGCCTGTACTTCTCAGTGCTTTACAACAATAAAACTTTATTCGTGTTCACACACAGACACTAGATGCAAGTGAAGTATCCTGGCTTATCTAAAGATATGGCTCAAATAGGATCGTTCAAGTATGCAAACAATGAAGGGACAAAAATTGCTGCCATCGTTATGGACTCAGAACCTGTGAACAGACAGTTCACATTATGTTGCACAGTTCATCTTTTACAACACACAGAAAGATTCACATCCTACAACGGAAAACAAATAAGAAACAAACAAAAACAATGCAAGGTCCAGAATACACCACAACAGTTAGATCATTCCCTACCTCAGGATAAGATTTTTGAAAGCCCACAACATGCCTAAAGCCTTAAGAAAATGAAATTAACAGTTTGAGCTGGAAGTACACTGCAAATTCATAAACAGGCAGCCCTTGACAGGCCAACTTCACAGCTCTCTTAGGGCTAGGGTGGGGTGATATCAAGATGTCCAGTTGTCATTCAGTGAAGCAGAGCGTGTAGGCTGAGGTGACATCCAGAGGCAGGACAGCTGCAGTCTTCACTCCCCATCAGGACCTGCAGACAGAAACAAAAAGGCAAAGTCAGATCACAAATAGGTCATGACCTGGCTCTGCAGTCATAACGCTGTGGACCAAACAGCCTAAGGTTTCCACTGGGACCAATGAAGAGACCTGTCCCTACCTGAATTCCCTCAGTGCAGTAGTGGTGCCACCATCAGTCCCTGCCACAGGTCCCTTTGGGTCAAGCCCAAGATCTCTGAAGAAGATCCTTGCTCTGACAAGAATCCTGCATCTTTCACCCCGGCCCCAGAGTTCCCGACATGGCTTACATCGCCCACCCAGGTAGACCTCTGTGAGAAGCAAGCTCTCTGGCCTCATGTGGCATCCTCTGGTTCAGGATATGTACCCAGAGTGACTTCCCAATCACTCACACAGTGCTATGCACTGGCCATTTTTACTCAGAAGCCTTCTTTTCCAGACTCCCTGGCTATGAAATTCTCTTCTGAACTCACATATCCCTTCCTCGATGGACTTGAGTTTTGCTGGCAAAAGTCAGCACGGGAAGGCATCCATGTTCCGTGTCTCCATGGAAACTGTCTCAAGCCAGCATGATGATCTCCCTCCATTCCAGACCCTTAGCCCCTGTGCATATCCTCCCAGTCCTTCTCAGGCTGCTGCGAAGTGGGATACAACTGTGGGCCGGGAGTCATTCTTCCCTCTCCTATTCCTTCCACTTCGTACGCTGCCTGAACTCCAGAAAGAACTTGGCACCCTGAAGGCCTCCCAGTTTTCTTGACTTCAGGGTGCTGGCCCTGTGCTGTTGAGCAAAACTCTTGATAAGCAAACATCTGCTGAGTAGACTCTGGCTGTCACTTCTCAATCAGACTGAAGAGCTCGAGGCTCAGGCCTTCAAGTCCGTGAAACCACCCACTCTAGCTACCAGTATCTGGGCACTAGCCCTCCAGTGTCCATACCCTATCCACCCCCACGTTCCTCATTCAAGGAGCCAGCTACCTGGTATGCTGCGTGTCTCCTCCCAGGCCTGAGGGGAGTTGTGCAGAATCAGGAGAGCCTCGGCAGCATCCAGTACCTTCTGCCTATCCACCTCAGCAGAGACAGCTCTCTGGTTGGAGATAGCGGGGATCTGGGTGTAGACTTCAGGGCCCTGGTTGGAGGCATCATTGATCTGGGTGCAGATTTCACGGCCCTGGTTGGAGGCATCAGGGAGCTGGGTGCAGATTTCACGGCCCTGGTTGGAGGCATCACTGATCTGGGTGGAGTTGCCAGGAGCCAGGTTGGCATTGCCACGGCCCTGGAGACAGATGTTGCTGGAGACCTGCAAAGGAGGAGACATGAGAGAGTGAAATCAGGCAAGACACCTCCCTGACCACAATGGACCCTTCAGCCTCCAGTCCTTTCCACCAAACATGCGTGAGCTTCTGTATGAGCTTCTTCCACGCAAAAAGCCCATCCCTTCTAAGGAATTTGACCCCACTCCACTCATTTACCAGGACCTGTGCCGGCAGCACAGGAGGGATGGTGTTGATGCAGGGCTGCAGGACCACATTAGAGACCCTGAGAGCAAGCAGAGGAGAAGCCGGGCGGTTAAGGTCTATAGATGACAACTACCGCGAGTACACATGGAAAGCCGGGGACTCTGCAAGGTCAGTCTGGGGGAATGCGAATGGCTGTGGACATTAGGACTAATGACACTAGTCCACTGGGCCTGGGATTGATCCTCCCCCTGATTGACCTGTTTTCCCTCCAACCTCCTTCCATAGATCATCCCCAAGACCCTACAGTTTTGGGAAGTCTTTCCTTCCCCGGTACACTGAAGATGACCAAGAGTCTTTCTGATTTGCACAGCACCAGGAAAGATGGGAGCATGGACCTCATCAGAGACTGGCTCTTGCCTCCATTTTGCCCACTTCCCACCCATCATGAAGGATAAGCCAAGTTCATCTAGCAGACACATTCTCTGCTGGCCTGGAACATTTCCCTGGGCCTCTCTGGCCCTTCCACTTATGCCTTCAGATTTCAGCAGAACCTTCCCTCACATCCATTCACTTCAGTGTGGATGAATAATCTCAACATTTTGAAGGCCCTGCCTGCTGTATGCATCCAGCTTGTCCTCTCTGATTCTGCTGTGTAGAATACTTTTCTAAGCATGCCCACAGGAAGTGAACGGCTCAGAAAGATACTTTCCCAAGCATGCCATACAGGAAATACTAAATCTGGGAGGACCCTGTCCTGCAAGTTAGGCTGAAATGTACCTCTGTCATTCTCCTATACTTTTTGGTCCCTGTTTCCCTCCGTCTCCCCTTCCTCCCTTCCTCCCTTCCTCCCTTCCTCCCTTCCTGCCTCCATCCCTCTCTCCCTCTCTATCCTTTTGAACCATGTCTTCCTCCCCCTCCTGTTCCTCCTCCCCCTTCTTGCTGCTCCTACCCCCATAGCACCTAGCACGAGTTTGACACAGTACCATTAGCCACAGTTGGCTCCTTGGTCTCTGTTGTACTCACAAGCAGGGTATAGTCACAGGCTGGCAGGGATCCCATGACAAAGCAATCATCATTTGAGGACTCAAAGTCACTGGAGTACAGTTGATAGGTATGAACGCTGTGGGCCACTGTAGCACCACAGGCACCTGGGAGATTTCCTGCAAAGACAGACATCCATGTACAATATCAGGTCTGCCCACCAAGACAGAAGGGATGGGAATGTTTTAAAATGGTGACAGCCATGGGGAATGGCAGAGCTCTCAAAACCTTGGTGACAGCCATGGAGGATGACAGAGCTCTCAAGACCTGGTGACGAACCACACAGTCTCACCTTTTTGTTCTTTCCTGTAATTGAGGATACTGAGGCCCAAAGAGAAATTATTTTCCCAAGGTCATACTGGAAGCACAGGACAGGACTGGTGCTAGAACCTCAGAGTTTAGGGCACAGTTGAAATTGTCTGGACAATGCCCTCGGGGCTGGAGCCTCTCCCTGTAGCAACTTAATTTTCTTACCTGCCGAGGCATGATGTGAGGCTGGACTTCAGATGGATAAATGGCATTCTGTTGCTCATCTGTAAGAGACCACACAGCTCTTGGCCGTGCCTCCCTTCCCACAATATTCTTCTGAAAGTACCTACCCCCCATCTGAGGACTCAAGTCACCATCAGTCTTTTCAATACCACACCCAAAATGTCTCTCCTGTCTGTAGACACGTGATACTTGGCACTGATAGGACCCCTTATGTATACCTGGACAGGTTAAGGTCTGGGGAGGGTTTGCCCAGGGTCAAGTGGCAATTCTGTGCCATGGCTGGTGACAGAAGCATATAGGATTACTGCTGCCAAACTGAGACCTCCCTCCCTGACCAGAAACACTCACCCATTCTTCCTGATTTGGTGGGACGCTTATTGGAATTCATCTGAGAGTTGGGGTCCTCAGCCATAGTCCTTCTCAGGCCTCAAGTGAGATGCCTCTTTCTCTGTGTACACTGTCCTCCACAGAATTCACAGTAGGCAAGGCTCCACCAGACTCCCTGAAGTAGGGGATGGAATCATGTTAGTCACACATACAGGAGGCCTGACCTCTCCCCTAGCGATATTACACTCCTGAGAAGGTGTACTTGCAGGTCTGGAACAGGCAGAAATGTGTATCACCTCCGATTTGTTCTGGTGGTATGGGTGTCACACGATCAGAGCTAACTACAGGCAGGTTCTCTGGGACCAAGTTTGACCCCCCTCTTTGGTGATCTTGTCCTGTAACCAGCGTAAGGTTGGAGTCACAAGTCCATCAGAAAAGAGAATGCTCATCAAGTTCTGTGTTCCATGGCTCTAGAGTTAAGAGAGGTCATCAAAATGGCCACCAGAATTCCACCCCCTCATAACTCTATGTCTGGTGCCTAGAATCTTCCTGTCCGCCATCCTGTTCGTCGATGTGACCAATTATCCCTCCCTTCTTTTCACCATGGAATCTTGTTTTAACCTTGGTCTCACTTGGTCACTCAAGAATCTCCACCACACAAGCCCCTCTTGCACATTGACTTCTCTTAACATCCTGTTCTTCTAAGCCGCACAGAAGGCTGATCATGACTTTGCCTGATCACCATCACTGATGCCCACCCACACTCATTCACATTCACACACACACATTCACACACTCATACAAATCTGCACACACACTCCCCCCCCACACACACACCCTTTGAGGCACAGACAGGTGTGCCCTTGCAACTTCTTCAGCAATTACCACACTCTGTTGCTTTACCCTGTGCCCTGCCAAAGCCAACTGCTTCCTGGCTTATGGCTCAACCTTTAGTTGGTTCCCTAAAGTCCCAACTTTAACTTGACTTCTGACTGTCCACATGGAAGTGAACAAACTTGGTTTTTAGCTCAAGGGATGCCATATGCTCCCTCTTCCCTGGTTATGGTTTATCATCAAGCCCCACTTTAATCTTTATAATTCCTTGATCCCCTTGGAAATCACTGACCATGTGCTCCTCATGGAATTGTGTTCTTCCCAAGCCAACTTGGCTGCCTGCTGCCTGAAATCCCACTGCACGGGAGGCTCAGGCAGGAGAATGATGAATTTGGTGGCAACTCATAACACTGGGACAACTTATTTACAATAATTTACCACAGTAAAGATAATGTAATAATAAATAAATGAATAAATAAATAAATACAGATTGTTGTCCTCTAGAGTCTTGGACCTCTTTCATCTATCTTCCTGCATCCTTTTTTTCCCCCAGCATTCTTCTGCAACCGAAAAAAAATTATATTTTTGACCTAGTGTGAAATGCTATGCCTGCTTCAAGCCAGTTGATAGTTCCTCAGCAGTCTGTTTTCTCGGGACAACATACTCTGCTGTCATGAAAACCCATGCCTTCTGTTATAGCCTCTGGCAAACCTTCTAGATGCTTCTCCACATTTCACCAGTGGCACCCGAGCACAGCTTCTTCTCTTCCTTGACAGTCCCTCCCTCCTGCAGTTCGAAGAGCACAGGTTCTCCTCAAGAAACCCGGCCATCCTTTTCTGCCCCACCTGAGTCAAAAGTAGCAGAAGCCTCCTTCAAGGTCCTGAACCTGGGAACACTTGCAGCTATTGCTCCATGAGAGGGCGGGGTAGGTGGCCACAGGCTTCGCCTCTCCAGCCTTGTCCCTGTAGACTTGCGTGAGGAGGCAGAAAGCTGAAAGAACTGGGTTGCCCAGAGATAAGGGAGGTGGGGAGAACAGGACAAGGAATGTACAGATCTTATTTTTGATACCAGGCTGTGTTTACCTCAGTGTCCAGCGGATCAGAAGCAAGGAGCTGAGCTCTGAGGGAAGATGCAGAGCTCCTTGCTCTGCCAACTCAGTTTCCTGCCAATGAGGTGTGTGAGTGCTTCTTTTCTCTCCTCAGCAAGTGTTGTTTCTGGACCAATGAGCTTTCAGACTTACTCCCCTCACAGCGAGTTTGTCGCCACCTTATGGCTGCTCTGTGGCCTACACTGACCCACGTGACCCGTGTTCTCAGTGTCTCTGGGGGAGAGAAATGAGACTTGCGCTCTCTAGTGGTGTTGACCTGGGTTGCCTCCATGGGAAACGTGAGGTGCCAGTGCTTTCAGCACAACTGCCTGCAAAGCTCCTGTTCACCTTTCCAAAGTTCATCACGTGGGGGTAAAGCCTGGCATCCCCTGTGCCACACATATTTAATTCCAGCACTCCACCACACGTGTTTAATCCCAGCGCTGGAGAGGCAGAAGTAGGGGGATCTCTGTGAGTTTGATGCCGGGTGTGGATTATGGAGCGAACTCCAGGACAGCCAGGGCTGCACAGAGAACCCTGTCTCGAAAGACCAACAGGGGAAAAAAGTCAGCATGCGGGGACTAGATCGATAGCTCAGTCTGTACAGAGTAACCACGAGGAACCGAGTGTGAACCCCAGAACACATACAAAAAATGCTGACTGTGGGCTGGTGGTGTTGCATGCCTTTAATCCCAGCTCTCTGGAGGCAGAGGCCAATCTGGTCTACAAGTTACACAGAGAAACCCTGTCTTTAACCCCTCCCCCAAAAAAGGCTGATCGTGGAGGAAGGGTCTTTCAATCCCAACACTGGGGAGGCAGAGACAAGAGGAACCCTGGGTCTTGCTTGCCTCTTCAAGCAAATCTGAGATCCAAGTTCAGTGAAATACAGGTGAAAGAAGGTGAAGAGGGATCGAGCGAGCAAGACACACAGAGTCCACCTCCTGCCTCAACACGCACACATACACAGGGGAATGTGCAGCCACACACTCATAACCCACCTTCAAACCATGTTTTGGGTAATTTCAGGCAAATATGAATAATTGTACACAGGCCCTATGTACAAACTTTAACCTGATGCTTTATTACTTTAGAGCAGTGATCCTGGGACATCGCCTAACTTCGTGATGCCTGTAGCTTCTTAGGTTTCTAATTTTTCTTCCTCTTTTGTCCTTTTAAAATTTATTTAAAGATTTACTGATTCATTCTATGTGTGTGACTTTCATGCATGCCTGTCTCTGTGCCACATGGGTGCAGGGCTCTCAGAAGCGGGAAGAGCTTCTGGGACCCAATTTTGTTGTAGATGGTTGTGACCTACCATGTGGGTGCTGGGAATCTAACCCAGTTCCTCCGGAACAGCGGCCTGTGCTCTTATCCGCCTACCCGTGTCGCTAGCTCCTAAAAATCTTTTGAAAATGGTCTCACTATGTAACTCAGGATTGTCTTCGACTGGCTGTGTAGCCCAGACTGTCCTCTAACTGGCCTCAGCCTTCTGAGCGCTGGGACTACAAGCACGAGCCCCATGGCGAGCTCACAATGGTTCCTTAACGTATTCTGTTGAGCGCCATGCTTGTAGTCTCAGATTACAGGACCACGTGTGGGAAGCAGAGTCTGGTCTTGGACAACGTTTCTGTTCTTCTTGCTGATGGTGGTTGTGTTTTGGGGTGGGGACAACCTTCGAGAACTAGTGCAGGGTGAAAGGATAGCAATTACCCTTCTTTCACTGACACCCTTAATAACTCCGTGCAAATCTCCTTTCATGTATGGCCTCTGCTCTCCGTATTTCCCGGATGCTTTTCAAGCAAATTTCATTAAGAATGCTCACCTGCAACTCTACAATTGCAGGAACAATCCACTTCCCTCGCCTCCTCTAGCTAAAGACAAATACAGTGAATGCTCTTTTATCTAAACCATATACTCACATTGCTTGTTTTACCAGGTTCTTGTAGGGAATTGAAGCTTCACCTTGCCTTTTAAATGTTTCAACCTCTTCCCCTACATTGCTTTGGCATGCATCTCCCAAGAACTGTGTAGTGTTCCCAGGTGAGCACAATAACATTATCTCACCAAAAAAGTGGCTAACTGCAATTATTAGCCAGGTTGTCAGACTGTCCATATTTAAATTCTCCTACCTGCCCCATTAAATTTTTTAAAATTTACCCTACTGCGCTGATGTAGGTGAGCACAAGCAGGCAAAGAACACCCTTCCTTCTCCCATGTCCTTAAATAGGCTTCCAACAGAAGGTGTGGCCCAGGTTAAAGGTGTGCCTCCTTGCATGAAGATCTGGATTAAAGAAGTGTCCTCCAGCCTTGAGATCTGGATCACAGTAGTGTCCTTCACTTCTGGATTATAGTTCATTTTAGTTACAGTTAATTTGACAGCCAAGAATAGCCATCACAGCTTCATGAACTGAAAAAATAGCAGTTCTCAGTCTCTCTAGTATAAAGACAGACATTGTTGGACTACCCTGGATGGAATCGTGTAAACCAATCCAATACATCTCTTTTTAATGTATACTTATTCTATCAGTTTTGTTCCTCTACAGGTCTTGACATCCTTGGGTGTCACATATCAGATATCCTGCATATCAGCTATTTATATTATGATTCATAACTGTAGACAATTACACTTATGAAGTATCAATAAAATAATTTTATGGGTGGGGGGTCTCTCCAGCATAAGGAACTATATTAAAATGTTAAAGCATTAGGCAGGTTGAGAACCACTGCTCTAGAGCAACATAATGTAGTGTTCATGTGGGTACATGTACATATTCATGCAGAGCCCAGAGGTTGAAACCAGGTGTCCTTCTTATTCATTCAATATCTTATTTTTTGAGAGGTTTCTCACTGAACCTGGACATCACCTATCTGACTAGGTTGCCTAAACAATTAATTTTAGTACTCTGCCTATCTCTGATCTCCCCTACCAGCAGTACTGAGGTTACAGATGCCAGCCTAGATTTTGTGTTGGTTCTGGGGGATCTGAACTCAAGTCTACATTCTTGCCTGATAGGCACTTTACCAATTGATCTATATACCCAATCGGGGAGTGGTTTGTAATTCTTTTCTTTCATTATCTAGTTTAAAGGTATAGTGTCGCCTGAGACCATGATTGTGAATCATGGTGGGCTTTAGCAGTATGAAGAAGTCATTTTTATGACAAT